GATGTCCTCTGACTGGGTATTTTCTTTTGATGGAAAGTATAAGGAGAGAAGAAATAGAAAGTCTGAGAAACCTTAAAGTCTTCCTGCCCTTGTGTTTACATAGTTGGGATTTTACTAGAAACTAACTTTTATATACATATGAAATTTTTCACATTATGTACTAGAAAGAATGATGCTTTGTGGGCATGGACCATGCAGAGAGTCCAGCATCTTATTGTCCAGATAAATTCAACAATTTCATTGGGAGACCATTCTTGGTCTGAAAGCAGAGCTGGCAGATTATTATCCCCTCCAAAGAAAAGTCACTACTCAACAGGAAGAAACATGGAAATTTACAACATCATGAAGTTAATTGACATGGTATTGAGTGGCCAATGTGTTAGAAAATGCAAGTTCTTAACCACATCCTGTGACTACTTCCGTGACATCTTAAGTTTAGTTTTTACATAACCGGTTGATATAAACATTGAAGTGGTTATAGGGTACTATTCCACTGTCTCGTGTCTTTTTTCATATTTCTATTTAGCAGATTGTAGTATTCAAGTGTGATTTTTACTGAAGTTGGCTAATTTTAGGATAGTCCAAACAGGCTTATAACTGTAACAAGCCATACTGAGCAGCAGAATTTAGGAGGAGTGTGCAGAGAAATCTTCAATACCTTAGTCAGGAGTAAATGATCTTTGTATTTTACCTAGTAAGGTATATGTAAGTCCAAGCTGACTGCTTTCTGTCTGTTCTAGGCTTTCCTTATTGGTCTGTCTGTTTATCTGATCTAATTTTGGGGGCTCCAGAGCAACCCTGATGGGCATTGCAACAGAGGGTAGGGAGCCAAAGTTGGAACTAAGTAAGGACCAGAGAAGGCTCCTCTCCTAAGTCGCAAAGGAAGTTTACCGTTCTGTTTCTGAGGACCACTCAGGGCTCCTGGCTATTGCTCCAATGACATTAGACCCTGTGAAGAGGGTTCTGGGCTTCTTCCATCCCATGTGGGAGATCAGATAGGGATTGGTTGACCTCAGAGTTCTCGGCCTATGAGGCCACTCCAATTCCCTGTGATCTCCTTGGCAGTTGGGATATAGTCCTTGGTGCCCATAATGATAGTCCTTGATGAGGTACCGGGAGTCTCTGGGGTTAGGATGCAAGCCTCCTCTTGTCCTCCTGTTCCACTCTGGGGTCCCCTCCTCAAAGGCTTCATTCTTAATAGGTTAATTGGATTAAATTTCTGCCCTTGTAGTACCATCAGCTTACGATGCTGGAGTTTAAAATGTCCTGCATGAATTTGATATCAAATCATATTCAAGCCATAGCAATGATCAGTGCTGTAATCATTTTACCTACCCTCAACCTTAACTCTTTCCATCTTTTTAACATAATTTAACTTCTAGACGTATGTTAATTTAGCAATAATTTCTTCAATTTGTATCAGTGTGTTTTAAAGCATATTATAATGGCATTATTTATATTGGATGCAAATCGATGTAATTGTTAGAAGCCAACATTGTGGCACAGAAGGCTAAGGCACTGCTTAGGATGCTGGCATAACATATTGGAGTACCAGTTTGTGTCCCATTTGCTCTGTTTCTGATCCAACTCCCTGAAAATACACCTGGGAAAGCAGCAGAAGATGGTCCAAGTGCTTGGCCCCTGCACCCATAGGAGAGAGCTGGCTGGAGTTCCAGGCTGTTGGCTTTTGCAGCCACTTGGGGAGTGGACTAGCAGTTTTCTCCGTCTCTGCCTCTGTTGGTCTACCTTTCAAATAAATGTCTTTTTAAAACAGTAGTTTTTGAAGTTATATGCCAACTAGTCCATTTTTTTTAAAATAACCTCTTTGACTTACCTTGGTTTTGTTGTTGTTGTTGTGTGTGTGTGTGTGTGTGTTATTTTTTTATGGCAAGTCAGATTTACAGAGAGGAGAGACAAAGAGGAAGATCTTCTATCTGCTGGTTCACTCCCCAAGCTGTCTCAATAGCTGGCGCTTCTTCTGGGACTCCCATGTAGACACAGCATCCTAAGGCTTTGGGCCATTCTTACTGCTTTCCCAGGTCACTAGCAGGAAACTGGATGGGAAGTGGAGAAGCCAGGACATGAACCATTACCTGTATGGGATCCCAGTGCATTCAAGGCTACCACACTAGGCCCTGACTAGTCCATGTTAATGTTTCTGTTTCCTGAGACTGGAAGATGCCATCTGCCCTAAGATTTGATTCATGCTTGGTTGTCTTCTCTTTTGTCCCTAGAAATCTTGGAGATAACACATGTGCATGATAGGAGGCATGTGTGATTAATAATCACCTAGGAGCCCTATCTTGCATGAGTTTCTCAATTGTATTGAAGTTGTGAGTATAGATCGATGGCTTTGGAGGTGACAGCTGAATCCCTTCCTTGTAAATTTTTTCAATTGAACTTTCCCTTTAATGGGGTTTCCATCCACTTGCTGTTCAGTATATAAACTCTTCATTTTATTAGCATTCACAAAATGGTGATTTTTCTGATTCTGTAATTTTGTTTCTACTTCTTGGTTGCTATATCTTTTCTATTGAAAATTTTTCTTTATTAGGTGCCTTTTAATATTACAAGATATAATTCATATTGTAAAGACAGGGTAAATGCTTGATTGTTCCCCCTAAATTCTCTATCTTCATATTGCTGACCTAGCATTTTCTAGTGACACTTAGTGAATTTTATTTTTCCTATTCTTTTTTTAATAATTCAGTGTAATCAAATTAATGGGGCTATTATTTTTCTCTGTATTATGAATTTTAATTGTATAAGTAGGGACTAAGTACATCAGGATATCTTTGTTTTTAAACTATAATATGGTTTTTCCCTATCTTTGTTTTTAAACTATAATATGGTTTTTAAAGATTTATTTTTATCAGATATGCAGATTTTCAGACAGAAAAGAGGCAGAAAGATCTATCCACTGGTTCACTGCCCAAGTAGCCACAGCAGCCAGAGTTGAGCCAATTTAAAGCCAAGAGCCAGAGCATCTTCTGGGTCTCTCATGCAGGTGCAGGATCCCAAGGGTTTGGGCTGTCCTCCACTTTCCTAGGCCACAAGCAGGGAGCTGGATGGGAAGTGGAGCAGTTGGGATATGAACTGGCACCCACAGGGATGCTGATGAGTGAAAGGTGAGGATTTAGCACTGAGCTATCATGCCAGGTCCAAAATATAACATTAAAAAAAAAAAAACTTGTTTAACTTATTGAAAAGGTGGGCTGACGAGAGGGTGAGATTGAGTGTGAAAGAGATCTCTGTGCATTGGTTCACTTCCCAAAAGGCTGATCGGGGAAACTCCCTCCGTGGAAGTGGTAGCTGAGTGGAGACCCAGAAGCAGTGAGTCCTCATATGTCCTGGGGAAGGATGCTCCAGCACAAGACCTTTTAGTGAGGTGTGTGAGCTCAGGATGTTCAAGGAAGAGAATGAACTAGTGCGCAGTGAGGGAGAAGGCAGGGAGGGGACTTTGATTTTGCTTTGAGGGAAATGGAGCGGCACTGGAAGGTTTGGCTTAGGCTTTAGATGCAGTGCCCTTCTGGAGCTGATATAGCTCTTGAGACTGACCGGTGGATATACTGTTAAGATAGCCTATCACTTGTGAATTGAAGGGGATGATTTCCTAAGTATTTACTTCCAATTAGCTACAATCACACTTCTATAGAGAAAAAAATATCCTCATTTCTTCTAAAAATATGTCCTTGGAAGACCAAAGAATTTGTCTGGTGACCTGGTGGAATGGAGCCAGCAGTAGGGTCTCTTTTCTCTTGCTTTGTCATTGTAAATAAAAGAGATTTTTGTAGATTAGTTCTGCTTTACCCTCAGAAATACAAAAAACTCAAAAATTGTGTGACTATTGTCAACATTGCACATTCATGTGTTTGCTTTTTATTTTGCTTGGATCTCAAAGTAAAGATTGTACCATGTATGCTGGCTGTCAGAGATTTGTGATTTAGTGAGGCAGGCAGACATGAAACACATGACTGCAAGCCAATTAATTAAAACAGCTAATTTCATAAAGAAGCAATAGAGTGTTCCAAAGGATGTGAAAGGAAGTCATTGAAGACTTTTATGGATAAGTGATTTTGATTTAAATTTAAAGATTGAATCTGCTAATTGTGGTGGTGGGGGCGTTGTATGGGATGGGCAACAGTAGGGCTGGCACTGAGGAAATGCTGTCACCTTGGAAGGGACCCTAGATATTTTCTATTTCTTTTGCTGTGGTCTGTGAATGTAGAAAGAGCTACATACGTTTCTGAAGGCCAGAGGGCTTCTGGTGTCAGAAATAGATTACCGACCAGACCTGTGGTCTGCTGCTGGTTGATATAAGGACCAACTGGAACTATTCTGGGGCCCTGTTTTCTGCAGATGATTCTAAAGGAAAGCTGAGATTCAGAACTCTGGGCCAGGTGCATTCTGGTCTTGTTGTCAGTGTCTTAGCAGTGAGCTCCCTTCTCTTTTAGGGAAGCTTGCACCAATCTTAGACTAGTGTTTCCAAGGGACATCTGAGATTTTGAGGCTCTCTCCATCATTTTCCTCTTGAGTCTGATTGGTTTTTGCATACCTCCCTTTCATGCTCAGGGGTTGATGCCTCCTACCCCCAGGCCCTTTCAGCATCTTGACTGGACCCATGAGTGTCAGTCACTGCCATTTTCAGGCCCACAGGGCATCACCTGGGTTATAACTGCTTCCATAGAGAACCATCTACAGGGTGAACAGAGTAGGAGGAAGACTGCCAATGGTGGGGATTTCTCTGCTCATATGGAAGATGTGCAGCCCATGACTTGGCCCATTCTCTTTGGAGGCTGAAGATTTTCCTGGAATGGGAGAGCAAACCAGATCCGCCATTTGCTGGGTGGTGTCTGTGGACTCTGCAGTGTTTTTGAGTTTGAGAGTTGCCTAAGAGACGATGTGGCTTGCTGGCTGTGATCCTGGGCTGTCTCCTTCGGGAGGGTTCTCAGTTCGCTGATCTGCCAGCACTCCTCCTAATGAATGTGTTTCATCCGCAGGGAGGACTCTATTGGAGAAACTATTCAGCCAGCAGGAGAACGGGCCTCCAGAAGAAGCAGAGAAGTTTTGTTCACGGATCATTGCCATGGGTCTGCTACTTCCTTTTAGTGACTGCTTCAGGGAACCATGTAATCAGAATGCCCAATCGAGTTCAGCTCCGTTTGATGTAAGTAGGGGAATTCACTTCTGTCTGGGAGGTGGGATGCAGTTGAAATAGCAACTGTGATGCACATCTGCGCAGTCACCCTGTAATTAGAGTACAGTGTGGATGCCAGCCTTCTGCCCTGCTTGTGCTGCCCAGCTCATGTTCTCTTATACCCAGAGTGCTCAGTGCATGTACTAAAATGTCCACACACTGGTTTTTCTAGCCTGTTTTCCATCCATGATGACTTAAAGGTGGTTTAAAGTCAGTATTTCTGACTTTGCTGGTATGGGAATTCCTTCAGAAGCATCTCCAAAGGGCAAAGCATCTCTCTCCCATTGGGCTGCATGTTTCCATGGGCCCTGAGATGCTACTTCTATGAGTTCCTCCCTCATTTATACACAGAACGTCAACATGAGCAGCACAGGCTGCTCTCTGCCCCAGCTCCCATTCACCTAGAGAGCTAATACTGTGGAACTGTTAACTCAGAGGGTGTTTCCATCATTGATAACAACCATCAGCACAGCTGCATTCTCATGTTCGAGCCAGAGTGCTGCTAACCTTTCTCAGGTATGTAGAACACGGATGATGTTGGTTATGATGAGTGTGCATCTGAAACCCCAGATGAGTGAAAATTTACTCATGAATTTTTCATAAGAAAAATGAATGGCTTGTGGCTCACTTGTATGGGATTCAGGGTGTGTATGGTTAGAGCGTAACAGGTTCTGGTTCTTATGGGATCACGGCATTTGTTCCTTTGCTGGCAATTGCTCCCTCCTGTCAACCCTCTTGTTGCAGGAGTGAAATTGTAATGATTCAGAAAACAAATGCTGCCTCAGATCTGAATCTGGTAGTGAATAACTTAGCTCCACTATTGCCTGTCATTTTTTTCTAATGCTTTATCTGTTGCGATGTACAGTTTTTTCCCTCTCCCTTTAATTGCAGACATATAAATGGCATGGTATATTGTGAAATCTTTGTAATACATTGAACAAAAATTCTCTATATTGCACTGTGACTTGTGAAACTTTCTGATTTCTAAAAGCTTTCCTGCTGAAATTAAAAAGATAACAACATGTAACCATTGATTGCTAGGCAGATATTTTCCTTCAAGTGGGAAGGAATATGACTCTCCACAGGGAGAGAACCAAGGCTCCCCACTGGTTTCCACAAGAGAACTGTGGGGAGCATTTCTAAGCAACAGTTCTCTTGGGGACAGTGCCCTTGGGGCCGGAACAGCTGGTGGGGGTCAGCTCATCACTCGGGCTCCTTCCACCCACAACTTTGTTCCCATCCTTAAAGGCATCATCTCCCTTCTTTTCCTGCCTCTTTCCAGGTATAATTGTTGTAATTGCCGCAGTATCGACTAGAGGATCTTACTGATGCATTATATGACTCAATGTGCTTTATTTTACCCTTTGCATTTTAGTCTGACATTATTTTATATATGTCTAGGCTTTAGTCTTTTGCTTTATAAAGTGCTATGGAAAATATGAAAGGGCTTTACCTTTTTTTTTTCTCACATTTGACCTTGATTAAGATTTCAAAGGCCTTTTAGGGATCTTAAGGTCCTGTTAAGGTTTTTAAAAGGTAAAGATGGCTTTGAAGGATGAGGTTAACTCATCCACAGATGTTTTCCAAATTTGTTCTACAAGCTGGAAAGTGGTTTAGGCTTCTGAGATGTGTTAGTGAGCCAGAGAAGTAAGGTTTCTGTTCTGCTGAAATGTATATTCTATACATGGTGGGGAGAGGCAGATAGAATCAGCAAATAAGCAACAAGAAAAAAAATGTCATAGGATTATTAATTTCTACCAAATTCTTGTGGGATCAATACATTTAAATGGTATGATAGAATGAGTGGGTGAACTAGGGTGAATGCGGCTGGGCTGCTGTGTGAGGACCTAGGGGATGGGGTCTAAGGGAACAGTAGCCCAAGCAGCTCAAGGGGCCAAGACAATGGTCATTGGGGAAGTGTAAGCATGACCTGTGTAAGGCATAGACTGAAGCCTGCGGGGCTGCCGCTTGCTGAGAGGAGGAAAGGATGGGCTCAGGATCCAGGGCAAGAACATATTTGCTCTGTGTTTCTCATGGATCATCTGGCCTTTGGCATTTGGATAATAGAGAGCACAGGTTGAAGCACCAACAATCAGGAAGGCCGTTGAAGTAGTGGATGAGTTAGGAGTTGGTGTCATGTAGGGTAAGCCTCCAATCACAGTGTTGGCATCCCACGTGGGCGCTAGTTCTAGTCCTTGCTGTTCCACTTATGATCCAGTTCCTTTCAGATGTGCCTGCGAATGCAATGAGAGATGGCCCAAGTCCTTGGGGCCCTGCACCCACATGGAAACCCGGAAGAAGCTTCAGGTTCCTGTCCTTGGATCAGCCTAGCTCTGGCTTTTGCAGCCATTTGTAGAGTGAATCAGCAGATCAAAGATACCTCTTTGTCTCTCCTGCTCTCTGTGAATCTGCTTTTCAAATAAAATTAAATACATCTTTTAAAAAATGTGAGAGATGGTGACAAAAGCATAGGGTGGAATTTGGGGAAGAAGGTGAGCTTTCAGTGAATTGGAAAAGATTCTGGACGTAGAGGTGCCGGGACTTTTGGTGGGTGAGGCATAGATGAAACAATCAGGAAATCAGGATGGTTTCTTGGTGATTGGCTTAAAATAGCTGGGTAAATGTTAATGGCATTTATTGAGATTGAAAACATAGGTCCATTTTAGGGAGAAAATATTATAAGGCCTAACTAGTGGTCTACTTTATGTAAACCTTTATCAGATAAAATGCTATTTATTTGAAACACACATGCACACATGTAGCAAGACTAAAATATATTAGCTCTGCCTTTTACTGAGTGGAACGGTGTGGATTCTGTTAGCTGATCCAAATTAGGGCTCTGAAACCTCAAATTATTGTAAATATGAAAAGGAGTAATACTGGCTCTCCTAATACAAATAAATTAAAGTACAAATTTTATTTATTAATTTTAAAGATTTATTTATTTTTATTAGAAAATCAGATTTACAGAGAGGAGATAGAGAGAAAGATCTCCCATCTACTGTTTCACTCCCCAAGTGGCCTCAACAGCCAGAGCTGAGCTGATTCTAACCCAGGAGCTTTTCTGGGTCTCCTGTGTGGGTGCAGGGTTCCAAGGCTTTGGGCCATTGATGTTCTACTGCTTTCCCAGACCACAAGCAGGGAGCTGGATGGAAGTGGGGCAGCTGGAACACGAACCAGCAATCATATGCGATCCTGGCACATGCGAGGCAATGACTTTACCCACTAGGCTACTGTGCAAGATCCAAGATTGCACGTTTTAAAGAGCTTAATAATTTTGTCTATTTGCCTGTTTTTACTTCTATTATGGGGAACCACAAATACAACTTTTAAAAAGTCTCTGTCTTCACAGTTTCCTTTGAGTGTGTGTGTGTGTGTGTGTGTGTGTGTGTGTGTGTGTTGTATTTCAAACGGAATTCTAATCTAGAGCTTTTGCAATGCTAGCAGTGCTGTTTAGAGAAATGTTAGGCTTGGTTGTAGGTTATAGGTTGTGCATTGTAAGTTGTGTGTGTGTGTGTGTGTGTGACTTGAGGAAAGATGTTCGATTTCTGTTTGCCCCCATCATGATTATCCTTCTTATGAACAAGGAGGAAATTGTTCTTTATCATTTTCCAATCGTTAGAAATAATGAAACACTTGTCAATATGACTTTCTTTGCATTTTTGAACTTTCAGGCCACTCAGCACAGTGGATGAGGGCTATCTATCCTGAGCCTATTGCTGACTCTTAGCCTAGGGTCCCTGCCTGCTAGGCATGGATGGAAGTCATTTTGTAAGAACAGGTCCAGCATATGGTCCCTTTAAGACTGCTTGTCCTCTGAGTGCCTTTGTTAATAGTGAGATTTCCTTTTCTGGGTCAGCTCATCTGAGCTGTTTTTCAATCAGCCACACTCATATATCTGTTAATGAACAGAGAGCAAGTCTTCTATGATCTGTTTATGTCAGATATCACACTGTCTATTTATAGGCCAGAATCTCAGGCCAGTTTACTTGGTCTACACATTTAGCTGTGGTGATCACTAACTAATCCTTTATGAGTTGGTCTTTTAGAGGATATTTTTACGTATCATTGAGTGATCCTAAATGCATACGTAGAGGGAACATTTCTAGATGCACGTTTTTGCAGGCTGGACTTTCCTTTGATTTTGTCTGATTTGCTAATACTGGTAGGTATGTGCTAGTGTCTTCATTCTGCTCCCATTAGTTGACATCTTTTCTATCAGCCAGGTGGATCACATTGCATTCATTCTTACTGAGGGTGATAAATGTAAATCAAAACAGAAAAACCCCGTTTCTTAGCTTTACTTATCTCGCATTTCTCAGCTTCCCTTAATTTTTTTTAAGTTTGGGCAATAAAAAGCTCTCAAGTTCTATATGTGCTTAGTTGAAGAGCAGGCAAGCCTGGCAGGCAGCAGGCCCTGCTCCTCCCCTGGTCGTCCTGCTTACAGGGCAGCTACCCAGTGGCACCCCCTGTTTTGTTTAGCTCTTGGAGCACTTGACATGCTCTGATGTTTTTATCAACATTGTTATTCCTTCTGGCTGTCACCAGTGAGGATTTAACTCAGAATCCTTTCTTCACCTTCTTTCCGGTGTAACTAATATGGATGTTTCTAGTTCTGCTTTAGTAATTCTTCTTTGAACTTTAAATTCATGCTTAAAAGTTTTGACTGCTGGGCCATCAACTTCAAACTTCATCAACTTTGCCATCCTCCCAGTCTTGTAAAATGAGGCCTTTAGTCGTCTACTTGTCTCCACACAATGTGAACCCTATCTACCTCTTACACAGATAAATTTACTTTTTTAAAGATTTCTTTATTTTTATTAGAAAGGCAGAGTCTCACATGTGGGTGCAGGGTCCTGAGGTCAAATGATCCATCCTCCACTGCTTTCCCAAGCCATAAGCAGGGAGCTGGATTGGAACTGGTGCAGCTGTGACATGAACCTGTGCTCATATGGGATCCCAGCACTTGC